TGGCAGCCTGCGCCCGCTGTGCCTGCAGCAGCCCTGCCCTCGCCGCGTCCACCCTGGCCTCGTGGACAGCCCATCGGGTTCTTTTCGTCACAGTAGTTTTCACAGCAGGTTGGGGAGACCTTGTTGGACAGAGATACCGTTCTGTTTTCTCAAACTTCGCTCCCTTCTCTCTGACCCTTCTCTCTCTCTCTCTCTCTCTCTCTCTCTCTCTCTTCCCCCCCCCCCCCCCCCCCCCCCCCCCCCCCTCCTTTCCCCAGTTACACAACAAAAGCGTTCACTTCCAAAGTCTGCACGTCTATGACTCGCAACAGAGCTGGGTCAGCGGGGGTGACTGTGCCGTGGGGAGGAGACTCTCCTACAACAGCCAGCATAGTGAGGGCTGCAGGTGCCCGTGTCTAGAAGAGCTCGGGTGGGACAGCTTGCCGCAGCCTTGCTGCTCACGGCGTGATACTGACCAGCAGCACTGGCGTCACCGAGGAGCATGTTAAAAACGCAGGAACATGGGTCTCAGACCTGCTGAATCCGAATCTGTTAACAAAACTCCCCTGGAAGGCACACGCACGTTCAAGTTTGAGAAGCGTTCTGCTACTGGACTTGATGGCTGAAGGAGAGAGGCTGAGGGAGAAGCAGCGAATATATTTTTCAGGATTTCAACTGCCACTACCAACAGATGAAATCCAATTCCTCACCACTCTTTTCTCGCCCTTGCCTTCTAAGTCCCTGCAGAGAGTCTGCAAAGCAGTTTCTAGAATCTTCTGGTGGTGAGAGAGGATAGGAAGGCACCCATAACACCTGAGCTACATTTTTCTTTTTGAGTTGTGACTCGGAGGCTCTAAGAACTATGGGAGTTACATATGATGACGGTTAAAGAGGTATATATGGGCCTGCGGAATGCCCGGCCCACACTCCCCTCACTCCCAGTGTGCTCTGGATCTTGGGGCTAAAACATAAGAGTTTGTGTGCTGGAGAGCAAGTTTCATGGCCAGCTAGACTGGATCCATAAAAGTAGTTAGACTCAAGGAAAAGAATGAAACTAAAATAAAATCAAAACACCCCCCTCCCCAAACAACAACAAAAACAATAACAAAAAACTAGTTAGACTCAACTAAGAACTTGGCTTCAAAACTTCCTTGCCATTATTGAGTGCCCACTGGTGTGCCAGCAAATCCCTACGATTTCTTTCAACAACGAAAGGTGTTATTTTTCCAATTTTGTGTCTGAAGAAACTGAGGCTGCTGAGGCTGAATTCCCAAAGTCCTCAGGTTTCTTCTTCTTCCTCCCTAGGCATTAAGGGGGCCCTGTGCTCCTGGCTGGCAGTTTTATATCTTTATTATGGATGGATCCTTATTCCCATCCACTTTGTGAGAAAGCAGTGGGTGGTCACTTTGTATGTTATCTGAGGAAGATATTCCACAACTGACTTCCTGGGCCAGTGTTTTTTGTTATTGGTTGAGATAAACTAATTTATTACCATCATAATAGCTACCAGGTATAGAGGATTTGTATATGCCAAGCCCTTTGCTGAGTACCTCACTTACTTTGTTTTCATAATAACCCTATGAAATAAGTATTATCATCCGACTTTCCAGAGGAAGAGATTGAGGCTGGGAGAGATAAGCAACTTGCCCAAGTGCTCACTGGGAGATGTTAAAGTCAGGGTTGGAACTCATCTTCCCAGCCGGTGGGCCTCAGAGTGTGGTCCCAGGGCCGGCAGCATCAGTCTCACCTGGGAACTTGTTGGAAATGCTCATTCTCCACCGGGGACTGACTTGGCTGACAGAAATTCTGGAAGTGGGCCCAGCAATCTGTGTCTTGTCAAGTCCCCCACATTATTCTGATGTGTTCACAAATTTGGGAACCACTCTTTGAAGCTATAGGCTCTCAATGTATGCAAGGCAACATTGGTGACAGCTCTCAAATGCTGAAGACTGGATCCAACTGTTAAGGTCACTGGGGATTGGTTCCTGTTGTGGATGCTGCGAGGAGCCCATCAGCTGGGGTAACTGGCCAGGCATCCTGTTCCCTTCAGAGTGTGGGCCAGCTCTCCCCCTTCCTCATCTCCCTGCATCTCTCTAACTGGGTTGTCCCTGCCCCCTTGCCATTGCTCCCCAGGCATTTCCACCCTCTCGGGGCTCCTTGTTGCTGTTTCTTACCGACCACCCAAGTCCCCTCCTCCAGCCAAGGCCACCCCATGCAAATGGATGCTGGACACCCGTGCCCACGTGGGTCTTTCCCCACAAACACTGCAACATGGCTGCAAACTGAGCTCTTCATTACCTTCCTGCCCTGCAGCCTCCTCCTACCTCCGTCTTCCCTGCCAGGTCCTCAGTAAAAGTGTGAGAAATAGAATTAAAATTAGATTTTTCTGCTCAAATAATGTTCATTCAAATCTGATCTCACCTCCACAACAAACAAACAAACTTGAAGAGGGCAGAGTTGCCATTCCCAACCCCAAACTGTACAAGGCCCTGTCTGAAAGGACTGCAGGAGGCGAAGGAACCTGTAGGACTTCAGGCTCGCCTCTCCTTTTCCTCAGGAGCCAGGCAGTGGCGCGCATAGCCACCAGGGCGCAGCATCTGCCGCTTCCCAGCCGTGGCTGGGGGCTGGGACTTGGTTTTGGAAGGGTTGCCTCTGAAGGGGCCCTTGGGAGGGGAGGAGGGTACCTATGGGGCCCACACATTCCTCCCGCCCCCAATTCTAAGAGGTAGGTTGTGTTTTCTCCATCTTATTGTTGATGAAACAAAGCTGGGATTTGAAAAATGGATCTTTGTGATTCAGAAGCTAACAGCTGCTCCTTGGAATCCACTCCCCCACCCCGCCTCTCTCTCCCTATCATTCGTCCACTCAGACAAGCACTTGGGTTAGGATGCTGTGCGGCAGAGGCAGGGATGTTCGCAGTGCCCTGGTCGGTGTGGTTCAGTTGATGATGTGTCATCCCGTGCACCGAAAGGTTGCCAGTTGGATTCCTGGTCAGGGCACATGCCCAGGTTTTGGGTTCAGTCCCTGGTTGGGTTTGTATGGGAGGCAATTAATCAATGTCTCTTGCATAGATGTTTCAATGTTTCTCTCGCTCTAAAATAAATAAATAAACAAATAAATAAATAAAAACATATATTAAAAAATAGGATGTCCTCAGCCACCTCCTAGGGAAGCTCCATCAATTCCCTCCCTTCCCTACTGCACAACATGGACTGTCATGAGGAAGGGACCTCGAATCATCTAAGCCCCTCATCACATGCTGAGGAAACAGGCTTGGGGGGTGGTGCTTGGGGGGTGAGAGTGGCTTTGCCAAGCCATCTACTAGTGAGGGGCAGAACTCATGATGACTCTCAGCCCAGGGTTCCAGCCTGCCAGGCTTCGAGGTGGGCCTCTCTCCCCAGTGTCATCCCCACCCCTAGCCTCTGTTTTGCTCCTCCAAGAAGTCCCCTCCCCCCCTCCCAAAGGCCTGCGAGTTCAATACTACTCAGACCTTGCCAAGAATGTTCACCTCAGTATCAACAGAACTCCCGAGGGCTTAAGGACCCCAGGGGTGAATGTCTGGTTCCCATATTTAACCATTCCCTCACACATTCCTAAATTCCTGCAGGATTTCCTGACTGCCTAGTGTGCCAGGCGTGGCGCTGGGTGCTACAGAGCTTAGATGAGCAAAACCAGCTCCTGGGCTCAGGGCTGCCTGGTGGGGGAGACAGCTCTGAGGAAAAGCAGTGACAGCAGGTGCAACCTGATCCAGGTGGGGGGACCAGTAGGGGGAAGTAGATAGGTCCCAGGCCGTCGGTCCTGTCTAGAATGCCTACTTGACTCCTTGTCACTTAAACCTTGGTTCTAGTGCTACCAATTGGGGAGGCCTTCCTGAGTGTCCCTTCTATCTGAAGTCGTTCCCTTCCCCCCATCACTCTCCAGCACACGTGTCTGCATGTATCACCATCTGAAATTAGCGTCTTTAGTCCTTGCCTGTCTCTCCCCACTCCCCACTAGGATGTGCACTCCACGAGGGCAGGTCCTTGTCCATCTCACTCGGGGCTGTATACTCAGAGCCTAGAGTGGAGTGGCGCCTTGCATGTAGCCGGCACTCCATATATGAATGTTCACTGTACAAATGTTTGAATGTTTTCTGCAGCGAATCCCCCAGTGCACTAGGTCCTGGGCTGTGATCTTGTGGAGAGAAACGGCTGCAGAGGTAAGAATGCCAGGAAAGCAAATGGTCATTAATGGAGGAAGGCTTCCTGAGGCCAGCGCTGGGGGTGGAGACTGGAGTTCCCACCTAAAGGAGACATGATTGGGATAGGGCCAGAACCTGATGTGACCCTGAAAAGCTCGGCCTCTTCCTTCATTCTTCCCTGCCCCACCTCTCCTTCCCATTTGTTCAACACCTTCTCTGGCAAACATAAAAGATGAAGGGTGCTACAGAGGAAAAAGGTGTGCCAGTTTCATATCCTTTATCAGATAATCAAGTGACAATTTACTTCTTGGGTAGGGGGCCCAGGAGATATTGGGGAAATGTTAAAGAAGTTTCAAAGATTGCCCTAGCTAATTGCTCAGTGGATAGAGCATCAGCCTGTGGACTGAAGGGTCCTATGTTCGATTCTGATCAAGGGCATATGCCCGGGTTGCAGGCTCAATCCCCAGTAGGGGGTGTGCAGGAGGCAGCCAATCAATGATTCTCTCTCATCATTGATGTTTCTACCTCTCTCTCTCCCCTCCTTTCTGAAATAAATAAAAATATATTTTAAAAAAAAGTTTCAAAGATTGTTGAAGAAACATAAGACAATCTGTATGTTTTCAGTTCTCTGTTTCTGTGTGTGTTTGGGTTTCATGGCCATTGAAACATTTGTTCAAAGCCATGGTTGGCCAATTTCTAGCTGGGTAACCTTGGGTAAATTACCTAACCTTTCTGTGCTTTGGTTTCTTCCTTTTAGAAGAACTATAGTTCTTGGATTCAGCTGTGTATTAAAAAAGGAAAAGTGAGTTTTGAACAGTGGCAGTATTGCAGCCAATGAGGTTTATCTGAGGCACAATTATTGCTAATTGAAAAATAAAATAAAATAAGATAAAATAAAAAAGGAAAAGTGCCTGGCCTGTGTCACTCAGTGGTTGAGTGTTGACCTGAACCAGGAGGCACATCCCCAGTAGGGGGCGTGCAGGAGGCAGCCAATTGATGATTCTCATTGATGTTTCTATGTCTATCTCCCTCTCCCTTCCTCTCTCTGAAATCAATAAAATAAAATAAAAATATTTTTTTAAAAAAGGAAAAGTATGCAAAGTTCCTAGACCAGAGTCTGGCATGCAGTGGTCACTCAATGGGGTAGTGGTCGCCTACCTCTTGGCCTGCTCTGTCTTTCCCTCGCCTAACTCACCGTGCTCAGCTCTACCTCTGTGCCTTAGCTCCTGCAGCCATCTGTTACCCCCATGAAGTGGGGGTGTAATAAACTAATTTCCTAGGGTCTTAATCTCCTCAGGGATTCAAGGGGGCTTCCAGCATCTTGGAGGTAGTAACCAAGTGGCTGGTTTTGTAGCAGGGAGGGGATGAAGGAGGTGGCAAGGCAGGCTGGTGCTAAACAGATGGGGAGCTTGTGGGCAGGAAGGACTAGGCCTTCTTGTTTGGCAATGACTGCCCCTCCCCTTTTTCTAACCCCCCTCAAATATAGCCTTTAAAAGGTTAACACGGAAGTATGTAATAAATGCAAGAACTCAGTCACCTTGTAAAAATGGAGCTGTTAGAGTTATAATTCCATTGTCCCTTGATCCCCCTCTCCTCCAATTTTACCTTGTTATCACTGTCATCCTTTTGCTGTTTTCATTTTGGTTACACTGCCCCTTTGTGACGTGTCCTCTTTAAGAATGCCCAGATGGGCCGGGACCGGTTTGGCTCAGTGGATAGAGCGTCGGCCTGCGGACTGAAAGGTCCCAGGTTCGATTCCGGTCAAGGGCATGTACCTTGGTTTCGGGCACATCCCCAGTGGGGGGTGTGCAGGAGGCAGCTGATCGATGTTTCTCTCTCATCGATGTTTCTAACTATCTCTCTCCCTTCCTCTCTGTAAAAAATCAATAAAAAATTAAAAAAAAAAAAAAGAATGCCCAGATGGTATCATATGCAATGGCTAGAAAGATGCCGTCCAGCCCTGAGCCCCTCCTAATCAATCCTACACAGGACTAATGAACTTCTAGAAACCTTTCCGAAGCTTTCATTTCACACTTTCTCCCTTCTCTGCAGTTTTACAAGTCAAGATTTACAAAGGCCTAATACATATATACTGTCCTGTCCCTGCATTCCCTGTAATTGATGAAATAAACATTCAAACCTGTGGAGAATTTTTATCAGACTTTAATTGAGCCAAAACTAATGACAATTGCTGGGAAACAAGATCTCAAAAGCTCCAGAGAATGACATTTTTGGTTATGCATTTAAAATTAAGCAGGGAAGCAAGAAAGATTACATAAGGGTAGGAGAAACCAAGGGGGGGGATTGGATTACAGGGGCGATTTTCAACCAGTGTGCCTCGGTACCCTGGTGTGCCGCAAGAATTTTTAAAATGTGCAATATCTGACTATTTAGTCAGGGGTACTGACCTCTTTCCCCTTAGAATCTAAGGTTCTCAACCTTCCTAATGCCGCGACCCTTTAATACAGTTTCTCATGTTGTGGTGACCCCCAACCATAAAATTATTCTTGTTGCTACTTCATAACTGTAATTTTGCTACTGTTATGAATCGTCATGTAAATATCTGATATGCAGGATGTATTTTCATTGTTCGTGACCCACAGGTTGAGAACCGCAGCCCGGGATGGTCAAATAAAAAAAAATGACAACAGCCAACACTACAATAACCGTAAGGTGTGAATGAATCAAAATTATACCCAGTGTTTTTTTTTTTTGTTAGATCAGCAAAAAATATATTTTTTTGGTGTGCTGCAGAATTTTATTAATTAGTTTATGTGTCATGAGATGAAAAAGGTGGAAAATTGCTACATTACAGGATAGTTAAGAATATGTGCTTTCCTTGCAGTTAAGCTTATTTTAAAGGTTTGTTAACCTAGATGCACAGGGGTATTAACCTAGGGAGGGAAGGAGGGAGAGAGCGAGAGCGAGAGCGAGAGCGAGAGAGAGAGAGAGAGAGAGAGATATGGAGGGAGAGAGGGAGATGGAGGGAGAGAGGGAGAGAGGTGAAAGAGACACATCCATTGGACACATCCATTGGCTGCCTCCCACACATGTCCTGACTAGGCCCGGGTTTGAATCTGCAATCCAGCTACTTGCCCTTGGCCCTTGACCTTGAAGCAAACTCAAGACCCTTTGGTGTGCAGGCTGAGGCTCTAACCACTGAGCTACCAGCCAGGGCAGGAATTGGAGTTTATGATCAGATCACCCTGTAAGGTTACTTTGGGTAGAACCCCTTTTTGTCCACACCTGTCAGTGGCCAATCTTGTCTCTATCACTAGAGTGTAAGCCCTCTGAGGCCAGACCCTGTGGCCTGCACAGCGTCTATATCGCCATGGTCTCTCTGGCTCATGCAGAGCACACAATGTGAATGAGGTCAATAAATGCACCCGCCCCCGCCCCCCCGGAGTGAATAAGAATCCTGTCTTTGTCTATTTGAACAAGGGAGGCCCTTGAGGGGTCTGCTGCTGGCCAGCACTCAGACCAGCGATTGAGGGCTTTTTTTGCTGGGGATGCTTGGCCCTCCCTATGAGAGGAGAGGGGTAGTTCAGTGGTCAGGGCCCAGACACTGGATTCAGATCCTTGCTCAGCCTCTTACTATGTGTGATCATGGACCAGTAATTGAACCCCTTTGAGCTTTCTTCACCTATAAATGCAGCAACACCAGTTCCTACCTCTAGGGCTTTTGTGAGAATCCATAAGGGTGTTTAGACTTTTATGGGGTTCTAGGTTCACATGGGTTTGGATATTGAATTAGGAAAGATAAAGGAGGAAGACTTGTCAGCAGCCCTGAAAATAACCTGGTGGAGGGATTTTACGTGTGTGAAAACTGCTGGGGAGGGGATGCGGTGGTATTATGAAACTTTACCTCTCACGAGTTAAAGGCTGCCACCCGTGTGTCCCCTTTGCCCCTCCCACCATCTATCCCTGAGTCCTCCGGGGTTATAGCAAATATTAGAATATGGTAGAAAAAGACCAATTAAAACGGTCACGGATGGAGCAGACACCCGTCACGGGGAGGTCCGGGCTGCAGCGCGCATATTTCCACGCCCACTCCCCCGCTGCGGGGCTGCTGATTGGCACGCGCGTCGTGACGTCACCCGCGGGTTTTAAG